TTTTAATAATTTATCTTTATAAAGTTTTCTATATCTTTATATTATTTTTATATTTTTTAAATTTTATCTTAATATAGCATCTATTATAATTAAATAGTTTAATATTAATATTTTGTTAAAATGTTTTAATTTTTCTTTGATGTTAATTTTTTGAATTTATAATATAAATTAGTTTTTCATTTGTATTATTTATTATTTTTCTTTCTTATTTTAATATTTTTATAATGGTTATTATACTTTATGTTTTAAATTTTTAATATTGTATCACATATAAATAAAATTTGTTATAAAAATTGACCTTTTAATTAATTTTTTTGAATTAGTCTTTTTGATAAATTCATCTTCTACAAATTTTTAATTTAAAATTTATGTTATTTTAAATTTATTTCTTTTAAATTTATTTATTTACATAATTTGAAGTATCAAAACCCTTCAATAATCATGGGTACTATAGCAATTCTCTTAAAATGTGTTCTCAAATTAACTTATTTTAAAGAAAATACTCTGTACTCTTTTTTTTTTAAAAAAATTATTTTTTAAAACAATTATTTTTAAAAAATCAAGATACTATACTCTAGCCCTTCCCTTGGAGGTATTATAGTTACATGAACAATTGTTTTTCTCTTAACTTCTTGTTGAAAAATGGAAGTTTTTGTATGTGTGGAATAATTATGATTACACATCACCAAGGTACTCATCAGTCATCTCCACATATTAGGATAAGTGACAAAATATGAATGTAAACGTGCAAAAAGGAAAGAAGAAACCAACTCTTACTAGTTAATGGCGGGCAGAGTGCATATGAGTTGATATTTGTGAAAGTGTGCGTAGTGCTATTTTGCATGATTGAAGGGGAAGAAAAGAAATAAAGGAAGCTTATATAAATATCATAATCCTCTAAGACTAACATTATTAAAGTAGAGAATCTCAGAAAAAAAAAAAAAAACAAAACAAAAGCAACAACAGGATTCCAATGAAGACTTGCATGTTTATTCTAAACCATTGGATTTTAGTCTAAGAATCTCCTTTCCTTTCTCTTTACTCCTCCTAGTTTTCCTCGTCTCACATATACATATACATACATATATATATATGTACACCAAGATATTTACTCAACATATCTTCTAAACCTGCTGCAAAAACACCTGTTTTCTCTTAGTGAAACACTTTTGTCCTAGGAATCCTGCATGTACAGAGGTTGTTCAATAAAACAATTTCTTGTGACAAAAATGAGGTTGCACTTGTGTAACCTCAGTTTTGATAGCAAAGCATAAGCACAATGAGAATCTGATGTATGTAACTCACTGTGGTTTCTCCGTTTAGGTCTGTTCATGGAAGGTGAGAGACCGCGATAGAGCTGCAGGGTTGGCTTGCAACACCGGTGATGCTTCCACCATGTGATTCATGTCACCTCCCTTTGATGGAAATGGTTTGAAGAGGCCTCCAGAACTTCCCTTATCATTCTTGCTCCCTAGTTTAGACCACATGGAACTCCTTGCAGCTTCACTAGGGTCATCAATTCTAAGAGTCTTGGGGACCAAGACATTGTGTTCTGAACTTTTGTGGTCTATCTTCTGTGAATTGGATGTGGCAATGATGTTCCCATCTCTTGTGTGTTTCCCCAAAGTAGGGGTAGACACAGTCACAGAGTTGTCAACAGAAGATTGAGGTGAGATACATGATATGTTCCATGAGGGTTGCATACAACCCCAATATGCTGGTGCGGTGTAGAATGATAAAGGGTATCCTGGAGGGCAAAATGTAGGAGGAGGCATTGAAGAATTCAATGGATAAGGCCAAGGTGAACTTGGGAAGAATGACAATTGAGGAGTTAAACCTTCACCTCTTCTTTCCACTGTTTCATGTGAGCCACTATGGCCTGAAGTTGAAGTTGTTGCAACAGAAACTCCATTAGAGTTACCACCCTCCTTACTATATGTCACAAAACTATTTGGCTCAGTTGCATGATGAAACCCTTTTGGGACAACACAACCTTGTGCTCTCTCAGCAATGTTCAACACAGAAGCCACTGAATCACAAAGGGGGGAATCAGGGCCAAAAGTCAAAACAGAATTATGCAATCCATTGGGGGCATTGAGTGTGGCTCCCTGAAGCGCCTCAGGGACCATCATGTGCCGGTAGTGTGACGTGGTCATTGAGGAGTTCTTGTTTTTTCGGCGACCAGCTCCTACCGGCACATTCCTCATGGTCCCTCCTGCAGTCCAGTATCTTTGACAGCTCTTGCAAAAATGTCGGGGCTGGTTGACATTGTAGTTGTTGTAGTAACAGAATTTGGTGTCCATGCTATTGCATCGCGGGCATGGAAGAACCTTGTCGGGTTTCTTTGGTGTTTTTTCTTCGGAAGCACTAGACTCACTTTGTTCTCCATTTGTTGGGGATTTCAGCAATGATGTCTCGGTTTCTGCTGAGGAAGTCTTAGGATTCTCCATGCCTGAAGATGTGGTGGCAGATTTTACATCCTCTGTAGTTTGATGTGAGTTATCATCATCTTGTGATGAGGTAAGTTCTTTCCTTGATGATTCCTAAAACAATAAAGATGATCAAGGTTAGAAATACTAATTTACAATGACAAGTACACTAGTGAAATTAGAAAACAGTGAATCAAAACCTCAAACTAACAAAAAAAAAGAAGGAATAATATGAAACAGAAAAAAATTAAATTGGCACAATGGTATTTATCATTTATAGAGTATATATAATATGTTGTGATATACAATTTTGGTGTGAAGTGTGTTATGAGATAGTACGAAAATAGAAGCGTTAGACAGGGGAAATTAATTGTTGTTCTTAATGACGTTGATATGAAATATCTTGGATATTTTAAGCGGAAAGTAGGGGAGTAGTGAATTCACACCACGGAAAACGGGGAGAAATTATTTTTCCTTTCACGTTAAGGAAGTTAACAGTGTACTTTGTTTAATGAATGAAAACGCTCACGTGATAGATAGTGCACAGCGCATAGTCAATAGAACAATTAATTCAGCGCCAAAAAAGTCCCCTTGGATTTCTCAAGTAACGCGAGAGATGCAAAACAAAACCATACTTTTCGTAGTAGGAAACAACGCACGGTTTCACGGTGAAAATAACCACCCAAAAAAATTATCTTTGATATTTATAAATTTTACACTAATATACAGGGGTAGAAAGCAAAGAAAGTTATGGAATTCAGGGCCTGGGGGAAGAAAATTAAGAGTATGAAAGTGCTGGAAAAGAAACAAGTCCAACATATTCTATATATAAGTCCTCCGTGATGTCGCCACGTTACAGGTCATTTGGACAATTGTTAAATAAGGACTTGAATATGGACAAAAATGTCAAACCAAAATAGTTAATTAGCTCCAATTAAGTCCATGGAATGAAAAGCAATTTGATAAGAGTTAAGTAAAGCAAGAAATGTTCAAGCCAACGACAGAGCAACATAACCTGTGTGATGATGATGCTGCTAGAGATCCAATCCAATAAGAACTAAACACAGAAAAGTTTTTTTTTTTTTTTAATTAATTTCCCGTTGAACTTGCTAAGCAACCGGTTTAGGACACTATTTTCTAAATATGAATCAGTAGAATTAGAAAAGCTCACTTTTTAGCATCCAGCAAATTCATTGACCCACAAACAGAATCGCCAAAACCAAAGCAATCCAAACCACATATATATAATATATTCTATTCAATATTCTTATACTTATATTCCATAAGGGAGATTGGATCCAATTTCACCGAAAGGAACCCCGAAGTGAATTATCGCCACCACTTAATAAATGATTGAATAAATTCAATACCCACATATATTAAAAAAATAATAAAAAAAAGAAACTCAAAACAGAACCATGGAAATTTTAACAAGGACTCGATTGAATTGAATTGAAACCAAGGCAAGATGAAAACTTTTTCACGATTGGAGAAAAACCCATTAACAATTAAGAGATTATGAAAAATGGGTGGCAGTTAGATTTGTAAATCGACATGGCACGTACCTGAGGTTGGTGTGGTGTTGTTGCAGAGGAAACTTCAGGCGGAGAAGAGGAAGAAGGAAAAGTGGCAGGCGCAGGAAGAGAAGAAGAATGATTGTGTGGCAGCGAAATTGTCCTTCCAAACAGCTTTATTGCTGGGTCTCTAACCTCTGACATTCCTGTGTTAGCACTGAATGATGAGGTTCAGGTTGAGGTCGAAGAATTTAAGAATATCTCTCTGCTCTTTCTCTTTCTAGAAAAATGGGGAAAGTAACGAGGAAAAATATATACATAAGTGGAGATAGATAGATATATAGGAGTTGGTGCAGTGTTGAGTAACTTTTATTGTGTCTTTTGCGCTGTTAATCGATATGAAAACGGATAATGAATAGTGAAGGGTGTGTTTGGAGGAGGAAAAATGAAAAATGTTGCCACTTCAGCAAAGGGGAAATTTTGTTAGCCACAAGTTCTTGTGGCCTATGAGATCTTTGTGTGCTGTTGGATTCCCCCACATTGCTTCTATAGATAGTGCTGTTCTGTCCCACCCTTTTTCATCCCTGTCAGCACTTTCATTTTTTGCCTTTTCGTCAACCACTCTTCTAACACTTTCTTCCTTCCCCAGTCAAATTGCCTCCCATCTTCCGTTTTTGATCCCCACCTCTTGTTTATGCTAAATTTCATCTTCATTTTTAGTTGACTTAAAATTCATTTATGATCTTCAAAAACATACACTAAATTTTATCTCTTACATTTAAGAACAATCGTTGCACTCTTTGACCTCTTTCATCATTAACTAGCTTTTAATTTTTTTTCTTCAATAACTAGCCTTTGACCTCTTTCATCATTAACTAGCCATTAACCTCTTTCATCAATGACTATAAGAAAAGAAAAATATATATTTTTTCTTTTAAATATAAATTTTTTTACTACTTTTATATTATTTAATAATATTTTTATATAAAATATATCTCTTTTAATATATGATATTTTAGTTGAATTACTTCTTTTAACATTTATAAGAAGGACAATTCAGAAAAAATATTATAAGAATAGTAAAATTTAATGAAAAATAACTTTTTAATATGCATAAAATCAATTTCTTTTGTTTATAATAGAAAACAGGGGATTATTTAAATAAGGAATTGGTGGTCAGTAAAATAGTGAATGATTTTTTTTTGTTCGTAGCTGGAGTATCCAGCGCCAATAGCAATGACTAATCTTTTCGTTACGTTGGAGGCACCTCAAAGAGTGAAATAGCTGACCCTAAGATTTAACGCGGCTGCATATACAAGGTAGGATTCGAACCCCTGACCTGACTTAAGCGTGGATCAATCCCTATCACTGAACCACACGCTTGAGGTTAATTAAGTTCTAGATTTGACTACTGTGATTGAAAAAAATTAATTATGAAAAGAGATTATTAAAGATAATCAATCAAGTTCATATACATTTTATTTTCTCCAATTTTTATTATAAGATATTTCTAATCAAATCACATGGATCACTACATATATTATTTTCTTCCATTCTTATTATAAGATATATTTCTAATCAAATCACATGGACCACTACATATAAAAAGTTATGTTAGTTAATTTTATTGGATTTATAAAACAAAATCATGATTTATCAATTTTATCCTTTTTTTACTTATCATTAAATTTTCATGACAGATATGAATATCTTACTCTATATAAAGACTTATGCACCAATACCAATAAAAAATGATAAATGATAATTGGATAATCTAAAATATGAGAGAGAAAAGTACATGCTTTCACAATCTTTAATATAGACAAAAAAAATAAAAATAAAATAAAATTAATGTTGTATAGAAATTGTAAAGTGCCTCATAAAAGGACCAACAAGGGTTAAAAGGGTTTAATTATACTTCTAATCTCTCTATAAGAAGAAATCTGCATTTTTAGTCACTTAATTTTCAATTCCATAATTTTAGTCCCTCAATTTTATAAAATTCACCATTTTTGTCCCTTCCTTGAAACTTTGTCCATTGATCATTAAAATGTAACATTGGTTTTGACTTGATATTGGTTGATGACATAATAATTATTATTTAATAATATTTAGCATAAATTATGCATCTACTTCTTGATTTTATCCCATTTTCATTTTAATGTGTTCCATACATTTTATTTTGTTTGATGTTTTAGGAAACATTTGGTAGAATATAAATTTTTTGATGTCCGATAATCATGGTTCCTAGAAATCATAAATTTTGTGAATCATGATTCTAGGAATGATTAAATTTTTCTGATTAGTCACAACTGTTTTTGTGAATATTTATAAGTGTTAATAGGAAATCAAATATTTTTCTTGGATTAACAAGGCAAATTAAGTTAAAATTATATTTTTACTATAGTAAAATATTCTTTTTAACTCAAGAATGTCAGATTCTCACCAACCCCATAGGAATAATTTGGTGGAAAACCTGTATAAAAAGCATTCTTGAGAAACCATGTTCCTAAGGAATGTTATTTTTTAGATGATAAACCAAATGTGAGAAACTAACATTTCTAATTTAGATTCTTGAGAAAGTAAAAACATTTTGTGTACCAAATGCTCTCTTAAGTCTTAGAGTGTGTTTGGATGGAGAATTTAAATAGAGTAATCATTTGTTTGAAGAATTTCAAATTTTTTGAGGTGAAATACTTTGTTTGGATAGAGAATTTACAAAGAATTTAAAATTGAAGCATTTGTGAAATTCCTTGAGATAGTATAATTTCAAATTCTCTCAAAAAAGTAAGAATTTGAAATTTCTCATTTTTTTTCTTATTTCAGTTATATATTTTATCTTTTCTCTCATCTCTTCATGTTTTTAATTATTGAATATTCAAAAATATTTTTAATAATTAAATATTGTCTAATATTAATTTTAAAAATTATTAAATACTTAAAAATTGACTAATATTTATTTTTATAAAATTTAATTTAAAAATCTCAACATATAAATATATTTTTAAAATCAATTTTAACATGGTAGAATTAAATTATCATATCCAAATTAACAATTTAAAACTTGAATTGACTTATTCTAACAAAATATTTTAAGAATGATAGAATTAAAATCAAAGTAATTCAAATACCAAGAATTTCAAATTCTTTGAATTTGTAAAATTCTTCATCCAAACACACCATTAAGGTTTTGGCCCTAAACATAAGAAATACAATTAATATGTTTGATTTCATAAAATAAATTATGTAACCTTTTTATTGGTAACTATGGGTTGATATGAAATATCTACCGTCAATGTATTTTCTTTCCAATATAGTCTATTTTAGGCTAAAAACCTATTTTGGTCCCTTATAATAATTGTTTGTTTCAATTTAGTCCCACTTTTATTTTTGGTCTCAATTTGGTCCCTAATAAATTAATTGGTTGCAATGTCGGACTTCCGTCCAAATTATTTAGACGGAGTTAACTGTTGACCACGTGGATGCTACGTGGATGCCACGTGAAAGCTACGTAGATGCCACGTAGATGTCAAATTTTTGTCATGCATTTGGAACTAGAACGACCCGTTCTGGTTCCAGAATGTCACACATTCCGTTAATGATTATATCCATAAATTTTAGATCATGATAACAATACTTATTCATATATTTGTAATATTAAAAATTTTATATATAATTTTTTAAAGTATAAATATATATTATAGTTATTTTTTACAAGTTTTTATATCTACAATTTTGATTAAGGATGAAAATAAACTAAGTTAGATTATGTTATATTATAATTTAACAGATTTAAACCTAATTTTTGTTAAAAATACATGTTATAAATATTATATATTTATCTGTCATAGATATTTTTTAAAATATTTGGTTACATAACAATCTTAAAAACCTACTTAATAATAATTTAACACTAATAAAAACATATAAATAAATATGTTAAATCTTATAAAAATTAAGTTTAATTTATTTATCATATAAAGATGTTTTTAATATGTGATATAAAGTTTTACAAGGCTTAAATATGTTTTTAGTCCCTCAAATTTAGGATAAATCTATTTTTGATCCCTCAAATTTAAAATTGTTGGTTTTAGTCCTGTAATTTCAAAAGATCTTAATTTAGTCCTTATATTCAAATTTTGTTAAGAAATTTATCAAACATTATTGCATAAAATCTACCTATTGGTGTCCCTATTAGTGAAAATATCACATTAAATCTGGTTGATATTGCATAACTATCTTAATGAGTCACTTTCAAATATGTTATTGGTGACCTAAGGGACTAAAACAAGATTTTTAAAAACTACAGGGATTAAAAATAATAGTTTTAAATTTGAGGCTTATATATTAGAATATAATTTTTATTTTTTAAAATATATTATTTTTTAGATAAAAAAAAATGTGTATGTGTAAATGATTTGCTTTCGATTTTTGAACCACACTGTGCACTATGTTGGTTGGCGTTTTGGAACGACCCATTCTGAATTCAGAATGGCCCGTCCTGAATCCAGAACGTCCCGTTTTGGAAGCCAGAACGGCCCGTTCTAGTATCAGAATGGCCCATTTTGTTGCACGTGTTGGTGTTAAAATAATGCATATGGAATGGGTCGTTCCAGATGCAAAATTTACACACCATGAGTGCAACCGGAACGGCCCGTTCCGGTTTCAGAATGAGACGTTCTGGTTCCAGATGCATGACAAAATTTGACGTCTACGTGGCATGTACGTAACTTCCACGTGGCATCTACGTAACTTCCACGTGGCATCCACGTGGCTAACAATTAACTTCGTCAAAATAATTTAGACGGAAGTCCGACATTGCAACTAATTAATTTATTAGGGACCAAATTGAGACCAAAAATAAAAATGAGACTAAATTAAAATAAATAATTATTATAAGGGACTAAAATAAGTTTTTAGCCTCTATTTTATATTTAAGATCTCGATTCAAACTCTGAACAACTTATTTAAGAGATACAAGTTGTTATCACTTGTGTCAACTAATGTTAATAATAAATTATGTAACTTCCCAATATATTCTCAAACCTTTTGGATCCTCACCAATAATATAACAATAAATTAATATAGTTAAAGGTATAATAAAAAAATGTAACGTTACATTAATAGTATAAAATGACAATAAAATTGAAACATGTAAGAATTGTTAAAACGTCAAACAAAATAGAACGAAGAGAGTATCACTTTTTCGAGGAAAAAATAAAATTAAAAGTGAAATTTAGTTAAATATTTCTAAATATCAACTATCATATTATTTATTTAGTGTAATAAATGTTGTAATTTTAATAATTAAAGGATAAAATTTAATATAAAAATTAAAATTAAAAATTTTATAAAATTGAAAGACTAAAATTACAAAATTAAAAATTAAGAGACAAAGTTACATGTTGCATATTTTAGGGAGGAA